GCCCCGACTAGAATGAATGTATGAGGGGTGTCTGTTGTTTTAAATTGTTTTGTCGTTATGTGCTTTTTATATTTCTTGTAAGCCGCCCGGAGTCATTTGGGATTGGGCGGCATATAAAAACTCCAAATAATTAATAAATAAATAAATAAATAAATAAATAAATAAATAAATAAATAAATAAATAAATAAAATAATTGCATTTCAGATAGGTTTGGTGTGTAACTCTAGAATTCCCAAGCATGTCCATGGCTGGTGGCTGGAAATTCGCCAAACTTTAATCCAAAATTTCTGGAAGGCAACAGATTGAAAAATGTCTTTGGATTTGGAGAAAAAAATTCCAACTTCATAGATCCGGATGAGTAGAAAATCATTGAAGTGGATGATAGTATATAACTGTATTCCCTTTTCTATCACACAGCAACTCATTGAAATTAACAAGGCCTAAGTGAGCCGTATTATTTTCAAAGGTTTAATTTTCAGATTTATTTAGAAGTAAATTAAAATTCACAAGCACAAATCTCTGCCTTCTCAGAAATAAGTCCAGCTCAGTGGTACTAAGGTACCACTAATGTAATATATGATGGTGTTGCCCCCTAATACCAGCTAAATCTAAGCATGTCACATTTTCTTTTAGACTGCAGACTATCCTGCAGCTTGTATTTTTCCATAGAAAACATATCCCCAGGATAAAATATAGCTAATCCAAGATCCATGACTGTAGTGCTTTTTTCCTATCAGTCAATAAGCATGCTACAGCATTTTGCATCCACCATATTTTCTAAGACTCTTCCAAGGCAGCTCCATGTATAGTGCTCTAGCTGTGTGATGATTAGAGAATAAATTACTAACATCAGAGCCTCTTGCTTCAAAACCCTTATGGCTATAGCTTCTGCTTGCCCATCTGAAGCAATACAAATTCTCAGCTTGCGGACTTGCTCTTTCAGAGAGAGTGCCATCCCATTAAATTTAAATTAAATTAAAACCAGAACTGATAGAAAGCCTTTCCAATAAATCATTCTCCTTGAGTTCAAGCTATTTTGAGTTTAAGCTATTTTTTCCCTTCCCTAATCTAGCAATCTCTAAATTTTGCCAAACTCTCAACAGAATCTCTGACTTGACTCAAACTGAAAATATATAACTGCATATCATCAGTTGATGATACTTCCTCCCACAGACAGACTCTCTTGGTGATTGAATATTTTAAAAAAGAATGAAAATGACCAACCCTGGCCAGTATACAAGGAAATATCCATTGGGCCAATCTGCCCAATCTACTTCTCAGAATAATATAAATCCAGTATAGAAAGGATTTTTATCTCAATAGATATCCAGAAAGATACTATTGTAAATGATACTGGATTCTGTTTAGAGGACTAGGAATATTTTCTAGTGTTGGTGACCCTGGAGCACTTTCCCTCCATCCAGATCTTGGCATACATCATACACCAGAACAACAGTGCTACTCCCTTTCCAGCCTGGACCTGAATCCTGACAGAAGAGGGTTCAGAAAGTCCTCTTCCTCTAGAGCAGTGGGTCTCAACCTTCCTAATGCCGTGACCCTTTAATACAGTTCCACATGTTGTGGTGACTCCCAACCATAAAATTATTTTATGTTTTCCAAACTTTTTTTTTGAAAATATGTGTTTTCCAATGGTCTTGGGCCACCCCTGTGAAAGGGGTCCCGACCCACAGGTTGAGAACCACTGCTCTAGAGCATTTATTTATTTATAAATAATTAACTTATTCCAGGAAGAGCTCTTGCAGGGATTCCCATGTAATTCTTAATCAGCATAATATTGCAATGGGCAAGTTGTGAGTTGATTTTTTTAAAATGCTCATTAGACTCTTCCAAGAACATACCACCAGTTTTCAGCACTAATTTCTTTTTCTTTAAGAGATTAAAAAAGTAAGATATTGGTAGGTGCTATGTTTCCAGGAGAGAATTTGATGACCATTGTGGTTCTTTTTTAACTCTTTCTCCAAGTTGTGACCTCTGTATTAAAAATTTTAGTCTTAGGTAGACTTGCTTAACAGCTGTATATCTTAATGAGAAAGGATTGAGTTAAAGCTAGTCCAGTTTCTCCCCAAAATATCTGCCATAATACCCCTGTTAAAGTTATGAATAAAGATGCCACATTTCTTTTGAACTTACTTTTTCAGGTATGGCAGGAACTATCCACTTCCTTTCTGACATCTTGGTTCCAGAAAAGTCTCGCTTCCCAGCATTTGAACTTAGTCCCCAAATGAAAGAAAACAAAGAGGAACGCAACAGCTAAATGGGAGCTGAAGGTGGTGCCAGAGGCAACATGACTGCTGAGTGCTTAAAGTATATTGGATCAATGTTGGAGTCCAAACAGCGAGATGCAAGACAATTTTCTTGGCTCTCCTTCAAAGGACTGTGTTTGTCATTAACGCATGAATGAGAGAATTCCATACCTTGGTGTTTCCTTATAAGAGATATCTTTAACAGTGACAAAGAGCAAATTTCAGTTTGTTGGGATGTTTCTTGTTTGGCTTTCACAATTGTATCTTAAGGTCTTTCAAGTGTTTGCATGTTCTTGGTATTGTCTGTCATTTTTCTCTTTGTTTGTTGCAAAGCTGAAAAGCATTCTGTAATATCTAGTCCTGTTGTTTTTTTCTGTGCATGACTGTATTAACAACACAGTTTTTTCTGCAGCTGACAAGTACATGATGACAATAGGACCAGTCTGTTGAACACAATAAATGAATGAAGCAGGAAAGGCCAGATAACTTAAGTCACAGAATCCTTTCGCCAGGAAATAAGTTCAAAGTTCTAGAGCATTTTGTTTACTCCCATCACAACACAGAAGTTTTAAAGTTCTATGTGCTTAAATTGCCCTGATCTCATTCTACAGAATCTAGAAATACTTGGTTTCTAGATGCATTATACCCAACATTTTTACAGTTATTGTTTCCTTCAATAGGGAACATTTTTATGATTTCATCCAAAGCACAACACTGACATCCTATATTCATTTCTCTGGAATCTATGGATCCAGATTATGGGGGCAGTTTAAGTGCACTGCAATTAAATAGGATAACATAATTTTCCCCTTTTTTCTTTATTATACTTGTCCTCCACCCAGCAATTCTTTCTTTAAAATCTGTTCAATTAACACTTTTCTATTTGAAATAGACTTATGCCAAGGGATAACATTTGCTTGGTTACTACTTTGCTGTTGGATCTATATTATAAATCTTAGTTTATTAAAAAAAAAATTACCCCTTTGATAGTATCTCATATCTGTATTTGATTATTGTGTTTGGCAGACAACCAAACAAACCAAAGGGGGGGAAAAGAATTTATTCTCATTTGGTTTCTCAATGGAACCCGACTGACACATTCTGATTAAAAGTCAATCATATAAATATAAAAATACATGCATTGTTTAAAAAAAACCCATATAAATAACTCATTTTTGTCATTTCATTTTTTTAAACTTCATTATCTTTGCATTCTTCCATTCAAGAGCTACGTAATTGAGTAGATCACTTAAACTTAACTTTCTCAATAAATAAATGGTTATTTTTCATCTTTCAAAACCTCTTAAAAAATCTAAATAAACAAGATTTGTATATCATTTAGAAGAAGAAGGCTACTGGTAAAATTAATTCAAAACTTTTCCAGTGATTGAAAGATAAAATCCACCCTTAGAATGAATATTTAAAAGATTTATCAAACTTTTTTGGTGGCCATTGTATTGTTTCTAGTCTAACATGAAAGGGTAATTTCACAGTTAGTAACACTTTTTGAAGGAGAGATGGTGGGCCTGGGAAGGAAAAACTGCTTGCCAAATATTTTGCAGTTCAGATTTTTCTGGAAAAAAAGACAGCAAGATACAGAATAGTTGAGCAATTATGTTCAACCTGCCCTATTTGTAAAAAAATTTAAAATGAAAAATTCCAAAATTTCCCCAAAAGTCTGACATGGAAAATTATTTCCACTTTCTTGATTGCATTGCATTTATACCTGTATTACTATGCTCATTCCACAGGTGTCTTTTCCTTAAGAAATTTGCAACACAACACTTTTATATTAGAAATCCTAAACTGTACTTCCCCAGCTTTAGACACTTCACATTTCTCATGCCAGCTGTGTTTTCTGGCAGTTTAGTTCCAACAAATCTACAATGAACTAGGCTGGAGATGATTTATTAAGTAATTTCCTTTGTAACTGGCAGCTCAAATTTTACAATTCAATCTTCTACATATGTTGCTTACAACTGAGATCTACTCTTAAGTGCTTAGAATTTTTATACCTGTTTGGAAGAACAATTCTCTGACAGAAATATATTATTGAGAATTTTTCAAATGAGGAAGATTGAGTTATCTTTGAAAATGCCATCTTTTGAGCTACCATGTCTGAATATTTCCTTGTTTTAAAATATTTGTAGTTTGCTTCTAAATGAGTTTGCAGAGAAATGGGATTTCTAGCTTCTGACTACTAAACTTAGTTATTAATTTCAGAACTAGGCAGACCATTGATTTTAAACATAGTTTTATGAAAGTTTCTAAGACGATTTGCTTTACATCTGATTCATACATCTGATTTGAAAGTACGTTGTAAATCATTTGCCAACTGAATGCTGCTGGGAATTAGCCCTGAATTTCCTTGCAGGCAAAGAATAGAGCTCACCATGATTTTTTGCAGACTTTTAGTTTAAATCAATCCTTTCTTTTATATGAGGACTTGAACAGACAAGTCTGAGTCAAAAAAGTGAAGTTCTGCTTGTCAACTGTCTATAAGTGAAAAGACAATGTGGGTTGAGTAAGTGGACATTCATGGTACTATGAGTAGTAGGTGGCTGAGAAGTAGACAGTCCATTTCTATGATAGATAACGTTAGGGAAATTACAGCAAACCAAAAGGCTAAACTGACATTGACTAGGAGGACAGAAATTGATTTATTTATATCTGCCCTAAGTTGTTATACCTAATAATGTATTCATTATGCAAAGACTTCTTTTCCGGTTCAGATTCTATTTGGGCCATTAAATAAATGGAAATGCATTGCTGCCTTCTTTGTCTTCAAAGAATGAGTACAGGCTAATTTAATATACAATTGTATGAGAGAAAGTAGAAATACCAAACTCCAAATTTTGTCCAAAACTAACTTTATTTTGAAGGAAATAGCTTGTAAACTACAGGTTTGCACAAGTAGCTCATCAGTCAGAATTCTAGCTATTATGATTTACATTACCATTGCTACTAATTTGTACTGAAATCTTACTAGCTGGCTCTGTTGCTTACATGTTTGTTAAAAAATAATTCATTCCTGAACACAGTTGAATTCTGGAATACATAAATTGATTTTTGTGAGTAGGATTGTTACCATTGTCCAGTCCAGTGATGGCTAACCTTTTTGTTGCCGAGTGCCAAAAGCACACGTGTGTGTACACATCCATAATGTAGTGTGTGCATGCCACCTCCAAGTGTGCACATGTGACATCCCACATGCCCCTTGTGCATATGCATGCATCCCACGAATGCACATGACCCCTGCCTGCATCCTGTCCCCCCATGAATGCACATGCATCTTTTGCATGCGCACAGGTTCCCGCACATGTGCAGCAAAAACCCCAAAAATCAGCTGGCTGCTGGGAAGTGCATGTGCGGTGGAGCTGAGCTGGGGTGATGGCTCACGTGCCCACAGAGGGGGCTCTGCTTGCCACTTGTGGCATGGGTGCCATAGGTTCACCATCATGGGTCTAGTCTAAATGAAAAAGATGTGTGCCCATCCTCCATCCAATCTCTCCAAGAATGAATGCAGTTATTAGATGTGACAGAAACCCAGACAAAGAGCTGTGCTATAGAAATGTATCATTAGCAAGCATAGCCTCTTGCTTTGGGAGCCAGCTTGCAGGATCCTGTTAGCATGCCTGCCCTAAAGGAACATTCTTCCTCGTATTACCTAGGTGGGATCTGACAGCTAGTTCAAAGAGGCTCATTGATGTCTACAAAGTAGAATTTGGGGCAAAATGTTAATGAAGGCCCCATTTGGAACAACGTTTCGCTATTCTGCCTAGCTGTAATTCCAGACATGATTAAAATTTGGCTAATATGGTCTTGAATTATAAGGAATGATTATTCTAGGAATAACATTAGTTGAGACTGAAAGTATGTGTGTTCACTTTAGCACAAGCACTGTCACTAGAATCTCATCTAGCAATACTCTATATTCCTTTAAAATTCCCCTATGCTTTATTGGATTTATTTTATGTGCTCTCTTTCAACTTAATCCAGTTCTAACCTCTGTCTGTGTGTGTGTGTGCACGTGCGTGAGAGAAAGGGAGGAGAAGAGAGGGGGAGAGATACAGACAGACAGACTGTAAACACAGTTGATATTACTCTTCCATGGGAAAATTTCTGGTTGTACTCTTAAATACAACTCTAGCAAATTGATTCTATTTAAGTTGATTATTCTTCCATGAAATTGACATCTGTAAGAGTTACTTAAAGATGAGTACTGTGGGCCCACTTATTTGTGACTTTCTTGAGATTCAGAATTATGTAAAGGTTTAAAACTGTTTTAACCTTTATAGCAGAGATGGGTTGCTGCAGGTTCGGCCTGGTTCAGCTGAACTGGTAGTGGAATTCAGACCTGGGACGCAGAACCGGCAGCAACCCAGGCCTGCCACGCCCCTGAACCAGTTCCCTCGCTGCCGCTTGGCCACTGCCATTTTGGATTTTAGTGACTGCGTGTGGGCAGTTCACTGTAAATTGTTCTGTGCATGCGCACAATACAATGTACATTGAACAGTACACATGGGTTGCGAACCAGCAGTAATGCCAGAAGCAACCCACCCCTGCTTCATAAGTGTTGTATTGTGTAGGTTGTCAGAAAACCTTACAAAATTATAATTTGTGTAAGGCTGTTCACATTAGTAAGCTTGACAATGAGTGAGCAATCAGTACTGTGCATCCCTCAGTTCAATTTTACTTTTTTACAGAGGAAACATTACCTCCAAAGGTTTAACAATGCTATGAATTTTTTTTATTAAAAAACAAGAACTGAGCAAAATAGATTCTATGCAAAGCAAGAATCAAAATAGCCAATATGTTTAATTAGGATTTATTTCATTTCCAACTGTGTTCCAGAACTCACTAGAACAGCAGCTTAACTTTATTATAAGGTGTAATATAAAATGTAGCCAAAGAATTGTTGGAGGAAAAAGAAACCTACTTCTCAATAAACCCCAGCCCAATACCGAAATTAGACAACTTGATCAAGCCCTCTCTCAACAACCTAACCAAGAAATATAAAAACAGTGGATTCATTAAAAGCAGTGGATTCATCCACCCAGGTTGCTGCTGATTATGTGAAGGAATCATACCCCAAATTGTTTTTTTCAATTGGCTTGTCCATCTTATTTAAAAGAAAAGCTTCAGGTTTCATTAAGGTGTGTATCTTAAATATTTTCTGCATTGTCATCGTTATGTCTATCCAATATGTTTTCACATATTTGCAAGACCACCCCATATGATAAAATGAACCTGGATTTTGACTACATATCTAGCACTTATTAGAAATCCCTTTATACATTTTCAATAGTCTATCTGAGGTCAAATACCAATGATACATCTCTTTATAAAAAAATTCTTTCCAACTTCAATTTAATGTAAAATGTAGTCTATTCATCCATACATTCTCCCATTTATCCAGCATTACACACACACACCCCAAATTGCTCATTTTATTATATGATCTTTAATGTATTCATCTTCAAGATTCATCTTAAGTAACTTTTTATATATTTGGAAATCAAGTGGTCATCTCCAGAACATAAATTAACATCCAGTTCAGATTTAGTTCCTGTTAAAACAATTTTTTTAATCAAGTTTAAATCTTTCAAAAATTATACAATAATTAAACCAACCACAAGCAAATTCTTCACTTACTAATTGTTCTCTTGCCTTTATCTTGAATCCCTCTTTCTCAAATATCAGTAAATTTCAATACGTCTTCCATTTGCATTCTAATATCTATGTAGTGCTATATGAGGTGATATTGAAAGTAGCACTTTATCAGCTAATATTTTGTACTTCCATACACCATACATGTGTGATCGATTGCCTAACACCATGAATCTTAAAACCAGGTTTAACTTTGTCACTGATAGGCATGACACCCAAATCTCAAATCAAACTTTTCAAGTCTAATTTATTAAAGTTATCCAAATTTTAACTATATCAGACAACAGCATTGTAATATAATCTACAATCTGGCAAGCCCAGACTTCCTCTATTTTTAGAATCTTGTAGTTTATATTTAATTCTTGGTTTTTTATTTTGCCAAATAAATTTAAATATATCCTTTGCCACTGTTTAAAAGAGGAATCTCTAACCACTATTAGTATAATCTGAAATAGAAATTACATTCTAAGTAGTACCTTCATTTTAATTACTGAAATTCTTCCCATTAATGACAAATCTATTTTTGCCATCTGTTTAAATCCAATTTTATCTCCTTCCACATTTTATCATTATTTTTGTAAAGCTTAGAATTTTTCTCAATAAGACTTATTCCCAAATACTGTACCTTTTTCACAACTTTAAAACCAGTTTTAAATTTAAATTTATTCTGATGTTCCACATTTATGTTCTTAAATCAGTATTGTCATCTTTTATTTATTTTTAAGCTCACCATTTCTTCAAATATTTTGATATTCCGCAGAGAACAGTTGTGTCAATCTGGCAGCCCATAGGCTGGATGCATCATGTGTAGGATGCATCGTGTGTAGGATGCTCCGTGAAGGGGAAAAACAATACATTACATGACAGCAACATGCCACGAGTTTGACACTTGTGTCATAACATATTCAATGTTCTCTAGTGGGTTTTGCACAATCAATTCCAAATCATCGATAAATGCATGTAATTTGTAATTATGTACTTTAATTTGTAGGCATTTTGCTCTGTTATCTTTCCTAATGTCTCAAACAGTTCCAACACTAGAATAAATAATGAAGTTGATAAAGGACCCCGCTGTCTTGTTCCCTTCTGGATTTCACCTGCTTTATAACATCTCCATTCACTATGATCCAAGCTTTCTGGAGTATATAGATAGGCTTCAGATGCTGTATAAAGCCTAATCCAATGTCCATCTTTTCCACTACTTGAAACATAAAGACCGAGTTCAAATTACCAAACACTTGACTCCATCCAATACAGTGCTCTGAACTAGCAGCACATATCTTTGTTTTGATAGACAAATGGCTGGTTTGATAGCTAGGAGCAGGTCTCTGTAGCTATTTCACTCCTGGATTAGAAAAGGAGTGGCACGGAAGGTTCTTGGATGGTGTTCCTTGATCAGTAGGGAGTGAGTATTCAGTGAAGTTTTTCTAAGTTATGCCAAGGAGGGGACTGATATATTCACCAAGCCTTTGTTTTCAAAGACACCTCTGTTTTAACTTCACAACTTTACAAAGGTTTTTCTTTTCTTATTATTATTGCATGTGAATTGCTGGCTGTGTGCCGGAATTCTGATACTTTCCCTCCTCGTGGACTCTAATTGATTTAATAACACAGGAGATGTGTGTTAAAATAATCATTCCATAGGCAAATGGCAACAAGTTTTTTTAGATTACTGAGAAAATGAGTTACCGATTTAATTATATTGAACTTTCACCAAAAAGACTATATATTATCAAGCTGAAAATATTTTATACCTTTATTTTATTTTTACCATGCACTACATATAATTTTCGGCTTTCTATGTTAAAAGCTTAGAAACATCTTTTTCTCTCTCTACTTATATCAACATTATTTCCCCTGCTAGCTGCTTAGTTTTGCTTTTGGAATTGTTTATCTGATCTTGAAAAGGGAACTATGTATTTTTGCCTGTTTTTCTTGCCAGCAACTACTGGTAGTTGTAAGAAAAAATATATACAAAAATGTCTCCTAAGAAGGAGTTGAAATTAAAATGTGACTTGGAGGAGCCCAGTGCCAAACTCCTTAAGGAAGCATTCGAGAAAAAGGTTTCTTATGTTACATTACAAGCATTCGAGAAAAAGGTTTCTTATGTTACATTACAAGAGATGAATGAAAAATCTGGTTAAAAGCATTATATATCAACTAAAAATCTTCCTAAACCATCAGAAAACTACAAGCCAGTTTTGAACAGTCCAATAACAACTTTTGAAATAATAGAAGCAATTAAAAGAGGTAAAACCAGATAGGCTACCAAGTGGAGTTTACAAATTTTTTGAAGATCAGCTACTTCTTCCAATGAAGAACTTAATGAATTCTATTCTAGAAGTGAATTCTATGCCAGATTTTTGGAAGGATCCTACATTTCTTTAATTCCCAAAGATGGACTGGATTTAACATCTGTGAAGAATTACAGGCCAATTTCCCTTTTTAATAATGGTTACAAACTCATAAAACATCTATTTTAGCTGACTTAGAAAGGTTTTACAGGATTATATACATTATATCCACTTATACATGAAGACCGGTGCCATTTCTTACCTAAAAGACAACTAAAATAATTTTGAATATAATTGAAATACATAGTGACAAACAGGTTGCATTAATCTTTCTGGATGCATCCTCCCACGCTTCCAAATTTCACAAGTCTAACATACTTCCTCATTCAATTGTATTATTGCCAGAAACCCAACATACAACACAGGCAAAGAACTTACAAAAAAGCTTGGACATCTCACAGAATGGAGTGAATATTTTATCAACTCGGCTGTGACCAGGGGGGCTGTCGGCTGTGACCAGGGGGGCATTTGCCCAGGTTCGCCTGGTACACCAGTTGCGTCCCTACCTGAACCGGGAGGCCCTCACAACAGTCACTTGTGCCCTTGTGACCTCTAGGCTGGAATACTGCAATGTGCTCTACATGGGGCTGCCCTTGAAGAGCATTCGGCGACTTCAGCTAGTCCAGAATGCGGCCGCGTGAGCGATTGTGGTTGCACCTCGCTTCACCCACGTAACACCTATCCTCCGCGAGCTGCACTGGTTGCCTGTCGATCTCCGGTGCTCCGATCAAGGTGCTA